CTGCTATAAACGTTTTTTTATATTTTTATAACTCGTAAAACATGGATTAATTTTTATGGTATAAGGATTTAAGATGGATTAATTAATCATTTATTATTTGTAGACATTTTTCTATAATTCTATTGGTTTGTTCGAAAATTCTTAATAAATGTTAATTGATAAGAAGTATACTATCCGGACATATTTTTAATTATATCTAAGTAGATTTCTAAGTAGTACTTCAGAAAATCCAAACATGTAAAAAAATCATTAATCATGATAGATTTACCTTTATTTTTATTAATGCCTATAATATTTTAAATTTAAGCTGTTATTCTTCAAAAAAATTTAGCAGAGCGTGGTTTCGATCCACGGACCTCTGGGTTATGGGCCCAGCACGCTTCCACTGCGCCACTCTGCTTATGTCGTTACCAATCCATTTGGATGATCACACACGAGCAGGTATGATTTCAGAGGCGGATTTAGCGTTTATAGTCATTCTTAGACAATTAATAATTAAAACGTTCAAAGAAGAATTGTAATAGAAAACAAATATAAAATGTGTAAAAACTCATTTTTGTAGAAGCAGGTACCTAATTTATAAAACTCCACATATTTAGTGGTCATATTATATAGAATCATTTGTAATATTTTTTTTTATTTTGAGTAATGGGCAGTAGGTAATAAATATAATAAATATAAGCCTAATAACTATACATACTCTCAAATACTAGAACTTAATGTAAATCATTTAAACCAAATAAATTTAATGGCAAAATTAAAGGTTATTAAACCAAATTTAGGTAAGAAATTATAAGTTTAATTCCCCTAATTGCAGGGGCTTCTTGGGATTGGAAAACGAAGATAATTTAAAATTATATCCAAGAATTGTATTATCAGCTAAGATAATTAAATACACTCTGAAAGAGTTTTAACCAGAAACATATTTAATTTTGAACATAGTGAATTAAATTACTAAGAAGTAAACTTACTAAGTTTACTAGAAGTAAACTTATTAAGTTTACTTCTATGGCCCTTCGAAAAGGGGGTTTGGCGTTGGGTTAACTACCCAACTCTGTAAAAAGCTATAGTTACGAAATCTAAAGTTAAAACTGCTGGACGGAAATTTCGACGACGACCTATGCAACGAAATAAGGACAACGATCTTAAAGTATTTACCTGGAATGTTCGCACACTAAACGAACCTGGAAACATCCGAAAACTGTGTGACATATTAGCACAATAAAACGCTGACATTACTGCAATACAAGAAGTACGATGGATAGGCCATGGCATAATCGAAAAAACAAACTACAATATATACTACAGTTGCCATAGAACTAGACATGAATTTGGGACAGCCTTTATAGTCAGTAATAAAGTCAAGCATTTGGTTATAGATTTTAAGCCAATAAATCCACGAATGAGCTGCTTAAGGATCAGGGGTAAGTTTTTTAATATTAGTCTTATTAATGTACATGCCCCAACAGAGGACAAGGAAGACGAAGAAAAAGACAATTTCTATGAGGAGTTAGAAAGAACATATGACAGTTGTCCCAGAAATGACATTAAAATAGTAATCGGTGATCTGAACGCAAAAATCGGAAGGGAAGAAATATATCTGCCGCACATCGGTAGATATAGTCTCCATAATGATACAAATTCGAATGGACACCGAGCAGTCACCTTCGCAGCCGCAAAGAACATGATCGTAGGAAGCACATGTTTTCTACACAAAAAAATACATATGTGGACTTGGACCTCACCTGATGGACTAACGAACAACCAAATTGATCATGTGATCATAGATGCACGTATCAAAACAACGCGTCTCAATATTGAAATCCTCAAAAATCCGCAAACAGTAGAAAGGTTTCAAAACTATATCGAAACTAAACACATACTTCATGAGGACTAACAATTAGTGAACAATGGGAAATGTGTAAAAATAATATTAAAGAGGCAGCAAATAATATTCTAGGGCGAGAAAGACCACCACCACGTAATGACTGGTTTGATGCTGAGTGTGAGGACATTACAAGAAGAAAGAACGATGCATATAAACTGATGCAGCAAAGAAGAACCCGAGAAAAACAGCAAAAATATAAAAATCTCAGAAAAGAAGAGAAGTGCATTCATAGAAGGAAAAAGCGAACTAACGAAAATAGAATATTGGAAGAACTTGAGGTATTAAAAAAGGAAAACCAAACAAGAAAATTCTACAAAACTCTGAATAACGCAAGAAAGGAATTCAAACCAAGGCTAAGACTATGTAAGGATAAGGAGGGGCATATACTAAATACAAAAGAAGAAGTACTAAAAAGGTGGGTGGAACACTTTAAAGAACTACTTACTATAGAAGTAGAAGATCCAGATCCAAATCAACCACCCGGAGGAGCAAGCAACAATTCACCATTAGAACCTCCGTCAATTCAAGAAGTACGAGATGCAATAAAACACCTAAAAAACAATAAATCTCCAGGAAGTGATGGTATACCCGCGGAACTTATCAAATGTGGAGGTGTTTCTGTGACTAATCAAATATATAAAATAATACTGAGAGCCTGGAATGAGGAACAAATCCCGGAAGAGTGGTGTATTGGAATCGTTTGCCCGCTACACAAAAAGGGTGACCACTTGGAATGTAAAAACTATAGGGGAATAATCCTCCTTAATACAGCATACAAAATATTTTCGAGAATCATATATGGTCGCCTAATTACATATTCAGAGGAACTTCTCGGGGAATATCAAAGTGGCTTTAGGCCTGGGCGATCAACAACAGATCAGATCTTTGTGCTAAGGCAAATACTGGAAAAAACCAATGAATTCAATATCGATACATACCATCTTTTTGTAGACTTCAAATCTGCCTATGATAGTGTCCTAAGAAATAAATTGTATGAAGCAATGAATGAATTCCACATCCCCGATAAACTGATAAGATTGGTTAAGGCTACAATGCGTAATGTGGTTTGTAAAGTCGAAATGCAGGGCGAACAATCACAGGCGTTTGGAACGCATGTTGGGCTGCGACAGAGAGACGCGCTGGCGTGTCTCCTTTTCAACATAGCACTGGAAAAGGCGATCAGAGATGCCCGAATAGACAACAGAGGAAATATTTTTAATAAATCATCCCAAATTTTGGCATATGCAGATGATGTGGAGCTAGTTGCTCGCACAACACGCAAGCTAGAAGAAATGTATACCACCTTCTCAAATGCCTCAAACTCTATGGGCCTGCAAGTAAATGAGGAGAAAACTAAGATGATGGCATCAACACCCAACAATAGAGCCAGGAACATCGGTCCCCAATTCACGATTGATAACTCTACTTTTGAAGTGGTTGACGAATTCACATACTTAGGCTCCCTGATCACCAAAGAGAACGCCATAACGGAAGAAATCAAGCGAAGGATAGTAATGGCAAACAGATGCTATTTTGGATTGAGTAGACATAAGAAAAGTAGAAACTTAAGCCAAAAAACAAAAATAACTATATACAAAACCCTTATACAGCCAGTGTTGACATATGGATCGGAGACATGGGCCATCTCCAAGGCAGACGAAGACCTTTTGCTTATATTTGAACGAAGGATCCTGAGAGGAATATTTGGTGGCATCTGTGAAAATGGTGTTTCGAGGAGGAGATACAACTACGAGGTATACCACAGATATAAACAAATATTTGGTGGTAAAGACGTAGTATCTCTTATAAGAATAGGAAGATTAAGATGGGCAGGATATCTAGCAAGATCACAGCAGAACAACCCTCCTAGATGAATCCTTATGCCACAACCCGTGGGAAGCAGAAAAAGGGGTAGGCCAAAACTCAGATGGAAGGATGGTCTAGATGAGGATGGTAGAAAGATAGGCGCAGCAAACTGGCAACGGTTGGCAATGGATAGGACTGCCTGGCGTAATAGACTTGGGAAGGTCGAGGCCCTTTCATAGGGCTGTAGCACCATTGATGATGATGAAACTTATTAAGTAGTGAGATACACCATGTCTGTTTTGCTTTTACCAGAAAGAAATTAAAGAGAACATTTATGTCTTAAGAGACTTGCTGTCCCGCTTGAGTAACTTTAAAATCTTCAAAATTTCAAAATTCATTCACATACAAACGACTTGCATTAAGAAATTTATAAGTTTCTTCATAAAATGTATTTCCCGAATCTTATTCAATTACATGTGTTCATTTTAATGAGTTCATTCTGACAATAATAAAGCACGACATGCAATCTGTCCAAAGGTTTAAACGCCAAATATGCGTAATTCTGCAGTCGCGCTCAATTAGTGAGATGCTTAGAATAAGTTCTGTAAAGCAAACCACCGCAAGCGGTACTATGGACCAATAGCTAATAGCCAATTAGACTATGATCCAATAGCGAATTTTCGTGAGTCACGCTCACACACTATCGCTTATGTTTAAGTCTGAGAAGATTATTCTCGCTCACGACGGATCGTGACCTGTGGTGAATCCCGTTATTTCACGTAACGCACCCAGTCCTAGTAGAAATACAACTTCTTAACGCTATAGATCGATGATTTAGTTCAATGACACACCATGAAGTTATAATCTGTCTAGTACAGGTTCTCTACACTTGGTCCTTTGGAAAAGAAGTTAAACTGTAGGTCCTGGACATATGTTCACATTGAATAATATACAACACATCAGTCAGAGGAGTTATCTATGCTCTAAATTGGGTATAACACAAGAAGATATAAGAAGACATAAGAAGATATAATTTTGCCATTTTGGCTTATTATTTATTCTGCTACAACGTGACAGAATTGCACATTAGCTAGCAATATAGAAATGAATCGTCATGACAATACGCCATATTGAGAATGTATCCAATAGATCCTCGCTCCCTATACAATAGAAGCAGAAAATATTACAAAGCTAATATCTATACTTACCTTTTGTTTTTGGGAACAAAAAATATTGAAATGGTTATTATAAAAATTACCGTGGTAATCACGTTAAGTTCTTAAAAAATGTCATATATCGTTGACAAATATCTTCCAATTATGTTGCTGTCCACATTGACAAAAAAAATTATTTCTCAAAATATTCTCAAAAATGAACTTAAATACAATAAAATGGTGGTTTTAAGCATTTTTAGACAATCTCATTCCGATATCAAAGTACCAGATTTCTCATTTTACAGACGAACAAGCCTTAAATCACCAAATTCAATAACAAAAAACTCCGAAGATCAGAGAAAAGCATTTTCAGGCACAGTCGCTTTTGTAGCAACTCTCATAGGATTATACGCTGTCAAAGCGGAGATACACAGGGATGTTTTATTTATGGCACCTTCAGCGGACGTATTAGCTTTAGCAAGAATTGAAATAAAACTTAGCGAAATTCCAGAAGGTAAGAATGCTACTTTTAAGTGGAGGGGAAAACCTTTATTTGTAAGGCGAAGAAATGAAGAACAAATTAGAAGTGCTAAAGATGTACCTTTATCAGTCCTACGAGATCCAGAGAAAGACGAAGACCGATGTCCAAATTCAAAATTCTTGGTAGTAATAGGTATGTTTGATCATATTTTCTTGGGCTTTTATCTTTTGGCAATTAAGTAGTTAAATAAGCATGATTCTGTAGCTATTTTCTTCTGGCATCTGAATGCAATTTAATATTTTTACTGAGAATTAACTACAATTTCAGTTTAAAATTTATTTTAATTATATTATTATTATAAAGTTTATTTTGGAAATCGTTCTTAAAATACAAATTAAACAAATTTTGTGTATTAAACAAATTTTTTGGTAAACAAATTCTTCTAATAATTGTCTGACCCATTCATTCATGTCTAATAATCTGACTCGTTTATATTGACAATTTAGACATATTATATTATAGGTAGGCAAAGGGCTCTTGTTACCGAACATTTTTCAACGGATAATGGGCCGATGCTAAACGGGTACCCGTGTCGACGGTTTATAAATTTCAAGGTATATGCGTCCGTTGCCTGTATCGAATATATGAAATATCGTCAGTTTTAAAGTAACAAGTGCATGCAATACATGTTGTCATCAAAGCAAAAAATGTAATTTTTCCCTTGTCCTATAATGACTCTACTTATTTTTATAGCTTTTCGTGGTTTTATCTCACAACACAGGTCGATTTTAAATCCGCACTTATTAAAATCTCCATATTAAAATCCGTATTTTAGCGGCAACAAAGAAAGAAATTTATTGAAAAAACGAATGCTCGTCCAACTCCGTTAACACACTTGCATAAACTAAAATGGTTGACTGATGGTTCACTGTTCGGTCCGACGGAGGTCTTGCCTAGGGGGACTGGATACGTAGACAGTGACAAGTTAACCAACGGATTGGTTGCAGGTGCGTGAAAAAACATTCATACGAACCTAAAAGACACTTAGCAACGGCTAACGGAAAGGTTTTAAAATAGAACCGTTGATCGTTGTCGTTAACAAAAGCTCTAAGGGAGATAACTTGATGAAGTAGGTAGGCTAAAATAAAGCAGTGGCAACGCTTGAAGCAATGTCGACCGTGTCAAAACATCTATTTTGGCGCATACTCCCCACCTCATTGGTTTGCCACCAGAAATAGATCATCATTCACCAGTTTGGCTACAAACAGTGGGTTTTAATCTTAAGTGTTCTGCGTTATAATTTTTGTGAACTCTACTGTTGGCTATTATAGGCTACTTTTGTGTTATTGTATCTACCGTTGCAAGCAATTCATGCGTGTTTAAACTGTGATTTAGGAAACGAATTAACAAAACAATTTATTTACTTTTGTAATTGTCAATGTTTTTGTTTCAAATAGTTTAGTAAAAGTATAGTAAAGTACTTACATTTGAAAAAAAAATATATATATATATGGACATGTCAGTTTCACTATCCCTGTCGATATCTAGATCTACAATTATTGTTACTTTGAGTAACCTATCTGTATTTTTCCAGCTGTCATTGGTAATTTCCTCCATTTCTAATTCAATTATACAAACCACAGATGAATTTAGGGTAAGCGAAACATTACTTCTCCTTACCGATGCTTTTATAGCTTATGCCATATGTGTTCAATAAGATTTAACATGCAATAGTAAGAAGGAAGTCTTAATACTGTATTACCCATTTCTTCCGTCAAACTGTCGCAATAATATTGTTCTCTGATGGAAAATCATTTTAAAGTTTCAAGTAATGATTTTTTAGAATAATTATCTTTATAATATATATCATTTTCCATCACATATTCCTGGATTCTAAATTTGGTCTCATTAGAATATGGAATTTTATTCGGCCTACGACTGCGGTAGCTGGCATTGTCCATCACAATTACATTGTTTGGTGCTATATTTGGCAATAACTTCGTTGAAAACCAGTTCTCAAATAATTCTGACGTGATGTTATCATGATAGTCGACACGGGAGTCCTTAGTATAAAACCATTTTTTGTTCCTGCATCGAATATTGTAATATGTTTTCCTTTATTTGATTAAGCTTTTGTTGTACAGCGACAAGAAGAATCTGCCCAACCACATTTTGGAACGTGATGGGTGTCAAACCACGTCCCATCCAGATAAACAATTTCTCATCCACTTTCTCTGTATTTATGAATTTGAATTAAAAATCCCGTCCTCCATATTTGTAGACAAGCAGATTCCATAATCACTTGGCGTTTATCGATCGTTTTCATTTTAAAGCCGTTTTTTAGAAGACATTTCCTTACTGTCTCACTGCAGCACTTGATTCCTGTGTCATCATTCTCAACTTTTGCATGATGGTTTTTAACGTGGGGACCATCTGTTGTTCATAAATGTTTATAATTTTTTTTAATGATCTCCACATCACACCGGTCTAGTTTTCTAAACATACGAGCTTTTTCGTTTTCTTCTACTTACTATCGGTTGGTTTGTTATGGACAACACTGTGTTCATTTGTCTTTTTGTTAAGGCTGCCTCTTTCTTCACTGCATTAAATTTGAAATCTTTTTCAGAAGGCTTGTAAGCTGGCCAGTTTCAGCTTACAAGATAAACAGTCACATCTCCAGAAGATGCTAACCCCTAGTTTTGGCGAAACATCGAGAACTAATCTCAGAAGACAACGGCCTAACAGCCCGAACAAACAGTTTAACAAGTTAGATGATGGCCGTGAAAGCCTAACGCACTTTAGCTTATAACTATTTAATACCTTATTTATAGGACTTTTTATTTATTTCTTTTGCGTTTTTTTTTTGTTAGAATTTGTTTTATAATCTAAATTTATATTTTCGATTAGTTATTTTTCTTTCGTCAACTTATCAACGCTTGTGGGTAAAATGACGATGATTGCATCTTTTTTTTTTTAATTATATGACATTTAGCTATAGCTATGTTATTTTGTAGCTTGATTACTCTGACAAGTAGAGTTCAAAATATCAATAAATAAATATTTTTAATTTGTAAAAAGGAGCGTAATTTGGATATTAGGCTTAAGTTCGCCAACTTACTCCATTTCCCCTACATTTAAAGTAGGTGACTTTAAAACGATATTCAATATTTTTGAGTGGCGTTTCAGATGGCGAATCAGATAGTATTATGAAATATATAAAATATGTAAACAACCGCCTTTATCTCAGTATGTCCGGCTACAGCATCTTCAACAGGCAGGCCATGTATTTAGGATGGCAGACAACAGGCTTCCAAAAAACTGTTGATTGTAAAAATGCATTAGAAGATATCTGTTGGAAGACCGAAAAAGCGAAGGGAGGATGATGTGGATAAGGATACCAAAAATCTCCTTGGCAGTCGATCGTGGAGGAGAATGGCTACTGGGCATAATGGATAGAGAGGTTTGATTAGGGAGTGCAGGGCTCGAATTGGGCTGTAGAGCCATAGGATGGATTATTGAGTAGTTAACTATTAACATTTCGAACGGCTCAATACAATACACGCACAACATCAAACCAAAACAAAACTCTGTGGAGATCAACATCAAAAGGAACTTAAAAGAGACACAAGAACAATTTAGTCTCAATAATCTAGTGGTTAACAATATCAAAAAAACTTTAAGGTTGACTAATATAAATGTTTTTGGAGTAAGTAAATACATTTTTTTTGGTTTAAAAAGAAAAAAAATGCATTAACTAGTCCCCTAGACAAAAGATCATAGCATTCACATTATGCATTTTAAATTAATTACTTTATTAAGGATCACAAAGACGGTCGTCCGTTTGATCGATAACTCTTTGAGAAAAAAATTTTACAATATTTAAACTTGGTACATAGATTCCTCTTAGTACAAGAAAGAATCCTATTAAATTTAAGGTCAATAAATTAAATTCAACTAAAATAAATTTTGAAACGTGGCAGATAGATTCATCTTGTTATAAAGAAGAACCTTATTGAATTTAGGGCCGAGTAGCATTTCTTATTCTACATATTTTTATGCCTTTTCTTTTTTGACAATTTTATGTATTCTACCATTGTTTAATGATTTGTTTTTAGGTGTATGTACCCACTTAGGATGTGTTCCAATACCAGATGCTGGCGATTTTGGACCAGGTGGATATTACTGTCCTTGCCATGGAGCGCATTATGATTCGTCAGGAAGAACAAGGAAAGGACCTGCCCCTATCAATTTGGTTATACCTGAACATCGTTATATAGATGATGATACATTAGTTGTGGGATAGTGTTACTTTATATATTATTAAATATTTTACTTAAATAAAATTTTTTGAAACAAAAATGATTTATCCTGCTCCTGTATTGTTCTTTATTTATTACTCTCATACATGGCGCAAGCTGCGCAAGAAAGTTCATTGTACTGTCACAGAACAGAAAACAACTGACGCATGCGTATGTGTCTATATTCTTTGTTTGTTCTGTGGTACTGCTTGAGCAATGAGCATTAACTATCATAGACATAGAATTCTTATAGAGTGGCCCAAAAGTCTGGAAACGGTCAATTATCTCGCAAATTGCTAGTCATAATTTTATAAAATTTGAGATACACCTATTTTGGGATACGGAGATTCCATAAGCGTCTATATTCTTTGATTCCATATTTGATATTTTCAATGTTGCCAGATTTGCCGTTTCTCTTATATTGTTAGTAACTTTGGTTTTTCAAATGCATCACCCTGTACATTCAGTCATTATTGGAATCTCCTATTCAATACGGGTTCAACTATATGTAACACTTATGATTTTATGTAGTCTAGAAAGTCTTAAATACATAAAACAGGAATCTGCCAATTAATTTTTTTAATAGTAACTACATATTTTCAACTACATTAAACCGTAACAATTGATGCCTCCACGTGCATCCGATTTCAATCCTAAAGATTATTTTATTAGGGATACTTGAAAAATTCAGTTTCCAAAACTTAACCAGCAAGTCTTGCAGGGCTAAGGCAACGAATTATCAATGAATCTCGAACACAGATTTTTCTAGACAATCATGGAGAAATGTGGTAGACGCATTCTACCATCGATTAGGGTACTGTCAACCATCTGTCAACTCACAAATTGAGCACATTTTGAACACTTAATAACGTAATTATTATGTTAAAAAATATTCTAATCGATCAACTGTTACGGTTTAATGTAGTTCAAAATAGTTAGTATTAAAAAAAATTATTGAAACAATTAGGCGTTGGCAGACTTATGATTTTATGTAGTCTGGAAGGTCTTAAATACATAAAACATAAGTGTTACATATGGTTGAACCTGTTTGTTTTAGTATCATGGGTTGAACTCGTATTGAATTATTGAATAGGAGATTCCAATAATGACTGCATATACAGGGTGATGCATTTGAAAAACCAAAGTCACTATAATATAAGAGTAACGTCATAATAATATAAAAGAAACGGCAAATCTGGCAACATTGCAAATACCAAATATGGAATCTCCGTATCTCAAAATAGTTGTATCTCAAATTTTGTACAATTAGGCCGTTTCCAGACTTTTGGGCCACTCTGTATATTATGATCGTGTGTCGTGATGACATTATACGTCATTGGTCCTGCCTGGATGTTCTTTTTGTCATATGTCAAAAATACAACAACAAAACATAAAAATGGCAGCCTTAGGTGGAAAAGGTTTGACATATAAATAAGAATTTATTTATTTACACACTAAAAGGTTGGAATTATGTTGCAGGTGTCCCCGAAACAGAAGAACAACAAAAATGCCGTTTTCAGGTTGAATTAGAATTTGTGCAATGTTTAGGGAATCCGAATTATTTAAATTGTAAGTTCTATAACCTCAATATTTTTTGTTTACAAAATTTTCAATCTTTAAAAAAAACACCCAAGATAGTTAAATGGGCTAAATTAAGAATCCTGACGATACATTTCGTCTTGCTTTTACTAATAGCTTTACAAAATTACTTTGATTTTTTCAAATGAATAACTGTAAGAGATATAAATTTCTCTGAGTGTCTTCACAAAAGAGTACCTAAAATGTTACCATTGCCTAGCTAAGATTCTTAATTTTTCTTTCTTTCTTTTTTGGACAGAAAGTGTTCTTTCTGACCAAATAAGAAACACATAGGTATTGTGCATGTATAGTGCCATTATTAGTTGCTAAATGTGTGTTGTAGATTCAATAATATTTCACTCATCTTTTAGAAATACAGATTTGTTGTAACTTCATTTTTTATAAGTCTAGTTTTTTACAGTTAAAATAGAAAACCATAATGAAAGGTTATCTTATTCATGAATCAGCTACCCATGAATACATGGTTTCAGGAATACAACTACCAAAGAATATAGACGTTTATCTATATTCTTTGCAACTACACTGGTAGATAGACAGAAACTGTAACAGAATTTTCAAAGTCTAAAGAAGTCATACTTGAGATTGGGTATTTGAGTTATTTAAATGGCTGTAAACTTTTGTAGTTCACAAAATATACAGTATCCTAATTTAGTGTATAAGTAATTAAAAATCTAAAGTTGGTCCTCAGTAAGTAGTGTCCTAGTAATGTTCTTCTTATTTCATATTATGTATAGAGTTACCAAAAAATCATAAATAATGGGGGTTGTGAAACAACATAAAAAATGATGTCAGTAGTTTAGTCACTAACAAGTTTTACTGAATGACATGACATTGGAGATCTAATATTTCGTTATAGATATGTATTTCTAATATTCTTTTGAGAAACTTAAATAAAAATAGATGAAATGAAATTTGTATTTTGTCGCTATTGACTGCTACCAATAAAACAAGCGAAGAAATCAAAAGACAAATAAATCTTACAAATAGGGCATACTATGGACTCCAAAAGCATTTCCACTCAAGAAACATTCAAAGAAGAACTAAAATTATTATATACAAAACATTGCTGAGGCCGGTCCTCACATATGGAGCAGAAATATGGACATTAACGCAGAAAGATGAAAGACTTTTGGGAATATTTGAGCGTAAAATACTCCGCAAAATATTTGGAGCTGTAAACGACCAAGGGCAGTGGCGCAGAAGATATAATTTTGAATTGTATCAGCTCTTTGATGAGCCAGATGTCATAACGTTCATTAAAACACAGCGACTTAGATGGGCTGGACACATAATACGAATGCCAGAAAATACCATTGCTAAAAAGCTAACCACAGGAACACCTGTAGGAACAAGAAGCAAAGGCCGACCGCGAATTAGGTGGTTAGATGGAGTAGAAACCGACCTACGAATATTAAAAATCAGAAGATGGCAACATGTTGCCAAAAACCGAACAGAATGGCGACGAATCTTAGAGCAGGCCAAGATCCACAGAGGATTGTCGAGCCAAAGATGATGATGATTTTACGCTCAAATATTCCCAAAAGTCTTTCATCTTTCTGCGTTAGAGTCCATGTTTCTGCTCCATATGTGGACCGGCCTCAGCAATGTTTTGTATATAATAATTTTAGTTCTTCTTTGAATGTTTCTTGAGTGGAAACGCTCAATGGATAAGTAATTAAAAATCTAAAGTTGGTCCTCAGTAAGTAGTGTCCTAGTAATGTTCTTCTTATTTCATATTATGTATAGAGTTACCAAAAAATCATAAATAATGGGGGTTGTGAAACAACATAAAAAATGATGTCAGTAGTTTAGTCACTAACAAGTTTTACTGAATGACATGACATTGGAGATCTAATATTTCGTTATAGATATGTATTTCTAATATTCTTTTGAGAAACTTAAATAAAAATAGATGAAATGAAATTTGTATTTTGTCGCTATTGACTGCTACCAATAAAACAAGCGAAGAAATCAAAAGACAAATAAATCTTACAAATAGGGCATACTATGGACTCCAATAGCGTTTCCACTCAAGAAACATTCAAAGAAGAACTAAAATTATTATATACAAAACATTGCTGAGGCCGGTCCACATATGGAGCAGAAACATGGACTCTAACGCAGAAAGATGAAAGACTTTTGGGAATATTTGAACGTAAAATCATCATCATCTTTGGCTCGACAATCCTCTGTGGATCTTGGCCTGCTCTAAGATTCGTGGCCATTCTGTTCGGTTTTTGGCAACATGTTGCCATCTTCTGATTTTTAATATTCGTAGGTCGGTTTCTACTCCATCTAACCACCTAATTCGCGGTCGGCCTTTGCTTCTTGTTCCTACAGGTGTTCCTGTGGTTAGCTTTTTAGCAATGGTATTTTCTGGCATTCGTATTATGTGTCCAGCCCATCTAAGTCGCTGTGTTTTAATGAACGTTATGACATCTGGCTCATCAAAGAGCTGATACAATTCAAAATTATATCTTCTGCGCCACTGCCCTTGGTCGTTTACAGCTCCAAATATTTTGCGGAGTATTTTACGCTCAAATATTCCCAAAAGTCTTTCATCTTTCTGCGTTAATGTCCATGTTTCTGCTCCATATGTGAGGACCGGCCTCAGCAATGTTTTGTATATAATAATTTTAGTTCTTCTTTGAATGTTTCTTGAGTGGAAATGCTTTTGGAGTCCATAGTATGCTCTATTTGTAAGATTTATTCGTCTTTTGATTTCTTCGCTTGTTTTATTGGTAGCAGTCAATAGCGACCCAAGGTATGTGAAGTTGTCAACACGTTCAAAGGTATGACTTCCAAAGACTGTTTCCCGTTCCTCATTTGCTGTCGGATCCTTTGTAACCAACATGTACTTGGTTTTGTCTTCGTTGATGACTAGACCGACTTGTTTCGCCGCTGTTTCCAATTCTAGGAGATATTGCTCAACATCTCGCTTGCTACGCCCTATTATGTCAATGTCATCAGCATATGCTAAGACTTGTATCGATCTATTGTAAATATATGAGCGTAAAATACTCCGCAAAATATTTGGAGCTGTAAACGACCAAGGGCAGTGGCGCAGAAGATATAATTTTGAATTGTATCAGCTCTTTGATGAGCTAGATATCATAACGTTCATTAAAACACAGCGACTTAGATGGGCTGGACACATAATAGGAATGCCAGAAAATACGATTGCTAAAAAGCTAACCACAGGAACAGCTGTAGGAAAAAGAAGTAAAGGCCGACCGCGAATTAGGTGGTTAGATGGAGTGGAAACCGACTTACGAATATTAAAAATCAGAAGATGGCAACATGTTGCCAAAAACCGAACAGAATGGCGACGAATCTTAGAGCATGCCAAGATCCACAGAGGATTGTCGAGCCAAAGATGATGATGATGATGAAATGAAATTTGGTGAATTTTAAGAGTTGAGTTTTTGTGCATTTTCTGACATACAATTAGAAATTTTATATTCATCATTGGTGTGCATACAGGTAGTGGTCTCAATTTTTTTTAAGAAAAAATGATATGCCACTGAGATTTGTCAAATAAAAATCATTTTTGAATTCTTCGTTTAATAATATCTTCATTTAACAAATTATCTTTTCTCTTTTTTAATGAGGCTCCGTTTTTATAAAAAAAAATAAATAAATAAAACATCTTAATGTGTATTTTTCGTAAGAACTATCTACTACAATAACATTGAACCAGAGTTTCCTTCTGTTTCATCACAGACACAACAGGCAGCATTGGCATCTTTAAGATTGTAAATGGTAAGGTTATACACAGCCAACTTTCTGATGTAGAAGAATGGTCCACTAGCTCCTTTTGGTGTGTTTAGAATGGATTGGAGATCTGATTGTATTGCCAAAACACTTTCTTGGTCCTTTGTATGCCCTTTGTCTTGATCTTTAATTTTTCATGCTTGCTTTCTTGCGTTTAATATGCTCAGTGTAGAGAGTATCATCATAGTTTGTATCTCCTTTTTGCTCTTCATGAGCAATACATTTCTTACAATGATCTTTAACAGCTTTGTGAAATTTCAGTTTGTACTCACACAAAAATTTGTCTGTACTTTTCTAAAGATACTGGATTTTTGTTTTCTTCAATGTACTTTTCTTTGTACAAGTTGTACTACATAATTGTTACATTTAAGTCACTGGCTAAATATTGGTATTCTGATTTCTTCCTTGCATAGTGTGATTCCCTTCTTGGAAGCGATAAAATGTAATCTCTTTATTTTTCATTTATAGGATTTACTTTATTTGGGGGATCTTTTTTCCCTCGTAGGTCAGATAGGAGAATTCCAGTAGAGTTGTTAACCTTTTTAAAAGCCCCTCTTAAGTGATTCTGAAATATTTAAAGTATAGAGAAAAAAATTTCTACACACATCTACTCTGCCATTTTAGTGGCAGAGGAAAAAGTGCATTTTTTGGTGTAATCTCTTCATGACTCCACTGATTTTGTAACTTTTCTTGATTTTGGTTGCACAGTAATGTGTTTTTTAAGAAACTGCTGTTGTTCTAATTATAGATTTTTATTATAGATTTTTTCTCTCAGGCTCAGGTACTTGGTTGTTTTAGGGGCCTTGCATTATTTAATTTTCCTTTTACGGTTGAATTTATTTTTACCTTTTATTGTCTTGGATGCTTCCTCCTGTCTTGTATACCATTTTTTGATACTTTTCGCTTTTTTGGCGATACCTGATTCTGATCTTGTGCTGGGTTGCGGTTATCATTGATAGTAGGCATATCACTGGGATTACTGCTTCTAGCCGGTATTTCAAGACCAACTATTCATTCCTAGATAATTGTTGAGAATTCTCATCTGATTCGAGATTTGTGGTAGATAAAATATTTGTTGGATGATCAGTTGGCCTATCGTTGTCAGTAAGGTTTCACTTCACCATGTAAGTTCCAATTCCAATCAAAATTCCAAAATTTAGTTAGAAAACAGGAGACTGGTATTTAAATAACAAACG